CACAAGGACCCCCACCCAACCCTCCCCCTCGCTCACTCTGCTCCAGCCACACAGGCCTCCTGCTGTTCCCCAACCTGCCAGGCACCCCCCCGCCTGAGTGTCACTGCACTGGCTGCTCCCTCTGGCTGCAACACTCTTCCCTCACCTTCTTCAAGTCGTCACTCAAAGGTCACCTCCTCCATGAGGCCCACTCTGATTACCCAATTGAAAATAGTAACCCCCCAGCACTCCCATCGCCCCCTTTACCTTGCCCCTCTCTCCCCTCTCCTAGACCTCACTGTCAGCACATAAGGAAGTTGACTTACGTCGTCTATCCAGCGTTTACCGTCCATCTCCCTGCACTAGAACACGGTCCCCACCAGAACAAGGGTGGCCTGTTCACGGACGCATACTGAGCACCCCGCACAGGACTGCACACAGCAGGCGCCCAGGGAACAGCTGTGGAATGGCCCCCGAGGCTAAGAAATGTGCCTGAGACCCACAGGAGCTGGGCATGGCAGAGGTGGGATTTAAACCCAGGCCTTCAGGCGTCAGAGCCCAAGCTTGGGGCGCCGTGAAGAAGAGGATAATTACATATTTCTTTCATGGATTTTCCCAGGTAAACCAAGGCACATCAACTAAGTGCCAGGGTGCCAGGAACCCAACACACTGGGGCCTCTTGGATCGGAATCAGACGGTGGCACGATCGTCTTCTGAGTTGACAGACCCCAATTGGTTCAACTGGCAACACGCGCACCCAGGGACGGACACGACTGTCTCAGTCAGTCACCATCCTCCCACCCCTCTCTGCCGGTGGGAGTGGACGTATGACCCAGTTCTGGCCAGTGAATCATATGGGAAGTCTGTGGGGACCTCAGGGAAAGGGTTCTCCTCCCTGACAGAAGGGAGAGTCATGTGAGGAGAGGGCTCCTTTGTCTGTGCACGTCTCCTCCAACACCTTCCCCAGGGTTGAGTGCCACCCTGTGAGGATGTGATGCTTGGAGCTACAGCAGCCATCTTGAGACCATGAGGAAAGGCACTGCTGACATGCACAGGATGAGAGGGGAAGAGGGGACAGTTGGGGGTGGGGAAGTTAAGAAAGAACCTGGGTCTTTGATAATCTTGTTGAGCTGTTAAATTAACCAACTCTGGGGGTGAGAGGGCTGCCTCCGGGCTTCGAGTTAAGATGATAAATACACATGTTCTTTAAGACACTCTGAGTTGAGTGTTCCTTTTTATTCATCCCAAAGCCCCCTCAATGACTCAGACTTTGCATTTTCTTGAGAGCCTGGATAAAAGATCGACCCAAGACTATGTAGTGCTCACGCGTGAACACACACTGCTTTCTTAAAGCTGTCAGGAAGCTTAGCTGCTCCCCGTCATTCTTCAGCAGGTGAGGCAGAGCCGCCCCCACCCAGGGCAGGGTTCCTGCTGCGGGAGACGCTATCACTGGCTGGGCGGGGGGGGGTCTTGGAACTGGGCCTGCACGCCCATAGGCTCTGCCACCGCTGCCACTACCGTAGCAACCCGACGGTGAGTCCCAGGTGCCCGTCGGCGCTGCCCGCGCTGTCCCATTTCACCACTGCAGGCCGGTGGGGAAGGGGCTGCCCTACTCCCACGTCTACACTGGGGGCTGAAGCTCAGAGGACAGGTGGGGAGGGGGCACCTGGGCCGGTTTCCACCTCCTCCCAAACCCGTGGGTCAGACCCGGCGACGGCCTCGACTCCAGGAGCCTGATGCCTTCTTTGCCTTCCTAAGTAAGGACGGCGCTGACCGACAATCCTTTTAAACGCAGTGGGCACGTCCCTTCTGTCTTTTAAACTAAGCTTCTAAAAAGGGCAGGCGAATGGGCTTTGCTTTTCAGAAATGCAGCAAATGCATCTTGATGGAGAGCAGAGAAAATTAACCCAGACAAATCCCACGATGACGCCAGGGAGGCTCTAATGAAAAGGTGGAAAGTTTCAGGTGGTGGGGGACACTGACGGGAGGGTCCACTGATGGGGGGGCACTGACGGGGGGGTCCACTGACCGGGGGGGACACTGACGGGGG